TCTCAGCTCGCCTCCCTCTTAGTCTTTCTCACCCCTATTCTTTTGCTATTTTCGACATCTTTGATCGCAATCAGATTAGAATAAATAACGAAAGTTACTTTCCCAATTTATTCTAACGATTTCGGTAGTAGCACACTGGAGTATTGGTAATAGATCTCTCGTAATTAGGATATGCAAGTGCTAGCACGATTTTAGCGCGGACCATTTTAAGGAAATTCACGGGCATTTTGGCCCTGATCTTACATGTTTGATGGGCTTTCATTAGTCGATGACCACGTCATATCTTAAAATTACAAGTATATACGGACGAGAGAGTGTTCTGTAAAATTTGATTAAAAGTTACCCACCTCTCTGTTCGTGACCCGCCGATGAAAGTTCCGACTTCTCACCATGTTAAAGCCTACAGAGTGTTTTTTCCCTACCCCACTTTAAAACTTTTCTAGTTTACGAACTTTCCTCGGTCTGATGCGTTGCATTTGCTTTACGATTGCATCACTTGTTACTTCCCCACTAGTATGCGCGAAAATAATCCACTAACGTGCGCTTGGGAATCCTAAGATCAGTAAAAGTTTATGTATGTTTGCCTTACTGTGTTTACATTTATAACAAGCTGTATATTTATATTGGATGTTCAAAAAATTCAGACGGTTGATTATACCGGTCGAACAGGCCTTTGCCACCCTTATGCCAATCGAGGTGGTATGTCTGGATAACGGCTTAAGTTGCCGGTGTGTCATGCTGCCATGGTGATGATGGTTCAATCAGAGTTACCATAGCATGGCCAATGTCCACGTGAATGTGTATCAGAATAACGACGTACCAGCTATTTATTGGATGGACGTTATGATCGACTCATGAGTATATCCACAGGTCCACTTGGAAACGTTCTCAATAAAACAAATTAGATGGTAAATAAATCACGAAATGTACCAGAAGGTCTTAATGTTTTCTTCTAGCTCTAACTTTTGACCTATAATCACCTGTGAAATGCCGATCAAATGCTCATCTGCCCAACCACGACCAAATTCACAATCTGCAGTGCCAGCAGCGAAATGTTCTCTTCCGTGAAAATGTAAAGGAATAAAGAGACGAGGATGACTGATTTATACACGAAGTACATGGGGCGCATTGCATCTGCCGGGATGCAAGCTGGCTGCCGCCTTTCGAGCTCCGTTTTTGCAGGGCACCCGCCAAGCAAGCACACTATGCGCTGGCGATGTGTGGTGGGGACATGGGTAGGCGGGGGCGTGGGCCTAATCCAAAATAGCTCCCGTAAACAAAATTACGAGAGCTCTTTTTTTCATACAAAATCAAAAAAGAGCTCTCGTAATAAAAAAAGTATTTTTTAGGCTGCTGACTAGTCTGGATTGTAGTTGTCTAAAGTCTAAAGACGCTAATCATGATTTAATTTATTAATCACATTGATTGATTATGTAGTCTGTATCATCGTATGTATATGGACTATATGAGTTATTGCCGAACGAAGTGCTAATTAAATTAGGTATTAAGAATTAGTAAGGAAGACCTAGTACTAGTGTTAGTGTATACCCTCAGCTAGGAATCGGATAATGATGCACAAAAATCTTGCAAAGACTAAAAATGCATCTTTATGTAGAAACCAATTATTAAACACGATAACGACTTTGTTTCCGTGCGTACATCGTTTGGCTTCGGCTGCAGACGAGTGCGACCTTGACATGCTGAGTGCTCTGATGGACGAGGACTCAAGCAATGATGGCACGGCAACCGCATCCGCGAGAGATGAAGCCAAGCTGCAGCATGCAGATGACAACAAGGAAGCAGATGCTGCAGGTCTGTCTACCATCTGTCCAGGGGTAGAAATGAACTTTTAAACAATGGAGTCCAACGGGACTCCCGGCCCTCAAAAAGAGGGAGTCCGCAGATCAAAACTAAAGATGCAAACTAAATAATGCATGTGATTATTTTGAAGATTCATGCGGTTGCACATCTGTCAAATTTTCTGTGGACATTTGCTGAAAAAATACGGTAATTACGCGAGGCCGTGCTCTGGAACGAACTAGTTAGTATAGCAGAATTTTCAGGGAGTTACACGGACTCCTGCATATATGTCAAATCAGGGAGTCCGACAGTAAATCGGGGAGTATTTGACTCCGTACTCGCGTTAATTTCGCACCCTGATCTGTTTCATACGTGTAATCGGTAATCGTACGACGAGAGAGGCGTAAGGCGTCTGCAGAGGCAGGCGTGAGGCATCTGCTCCCTCGCTGATTACACTTCGATTACACTTCGCGTTCGATTCATTAATTCATTGATTTGTTTGATTCGTTACTTGCTTTGTTTTGTTTGTTGTTGATTTGTTACGTCCTCGATTTGTTCAATTACGCTCGTTAAATAACTATTGATTACGTCGTGTAGGGGAGGAAGGGTTCTGTACGAAACATCAGATGGTTTAGAGGTGCCAGGCTTAGTGGGACTTTTGATTTACTCTTGGTGTAGCTCAAGCCAAGATTAGCACGCACATACATCATAATAATCATCATGTATCCAGTCTGCATGAAAAACTTCCACCCTCATTGGCCCAGCGGGCCTATAGAAATGTATAATTCACTGGCCCACACTAGGTTTTACAGGCCCGAATCAATGATCATCATATTATGAAAAGAGAAACCGAACCGGACCGGAAACCGGAAGTTGTTGTGACCTTTAGCGGCGACAAACACGCATGGTGTTGACTAGTTACTTCCCCTACTTAAGATCGGGAATATGATGCCCTATCGGTAAATAACAGTAAATTTTCATACAAAATATCGGGAATTTCGGTAAATTCTCAGACTGATCATCACATAAATACGCTGAAATATCAATAATAGACCATTTACTCCATTTTTTTCCACTGGCCCATCGGGCTTGTTCATTTACCAGTTTCATTGGCCCCACGGAAAATTTACTGGCCTCGGATACCGGGCCAGTGGTTAATTTCGCAGACTGTGTATCATCAGCATATAAGCATATAACCTGGAGCCTATTGTCAGAACCAAAGATTAATCTAAGCATTAGTCTCAACATTAACTCTGACTCGTAGACCATTAACAGAAACATGGTAAAGTTACGAGAATGAAAAATCCCACCAAATGTCCTCAATACTCTACGAAGCAAAATTCTGTCAACAGTCTATGATAAAAGGTTAACGTTAAGAGTTTTAAGACTGATGTTAAGAGTAATTCTGTTTATGCACCCTGACAATGGGGCCCTCCCTGAACCTAAACCTTACTAACTACCCCAACCCTGACCAAATCCTAACCCCCGCCCTCATATACGTATTTAATCGTCCATTTTATGTAGACCTGACACCAACTCGGTTAGTAAGGGCTAGTTCTAGTTGACCCATGTCAGGTTCGCGTAATCATAGTTGGAAGTATGCAGAAGATGAGCGTCGAATAGCCTCTTGTTTTTTTTTGGCGCGGCGCAGAAGACGAGATCGACGAGGACACGCTAGCGGAGCTGTTTGCCGACAGCGACTACGAAGACGACCTCACGGCGCCACCTGTTGAGAAAAGTAGCAACCAAAAAAGTAGTTGCACACCCAACACAGAGAACGTCGGAAACGGCATTTCCGACCCTCTCCAGCCGTGCAGCACGGCTTCCCCTGCTGCTGCTGCACCGGAGAAATTCGCAAACGTCTTCGATAGGATGGCAGCAGATGTAGAGGGTGCCAAGACGACTTCGGCGGGCGAGTCCAGCGAAGACAAGTCTAAGCAGGATCTCGAAAGTACGATCGCGTATATAGATCTAGACTTTCCTTGTGGGAGCGCGAGCGTGGTTTGGTGTTGTGTAAATGAAAACAGGGTTGGTAATGTCGTGGAATTGTGTGTGAGAGTCAATAGAACGTGCTTCGACCGAGATTTTGTACGCTCATCGTCGAGTGGATTATCCAAGGGATAGTTATCGATAAGGTATAAAAGATATTCGGACTTAAATTTTTGCGGTCCTTGACGACTGAACCACAGTATGGCCCCAGAATACTTTTTCTTAGGTAGAATTACTGTTTTTCAGGTAAAATGTGTTGGCTGAGGTGCGAGACCGTGCGAATGTGAAGTCCTGACGCAAAGTTTTCGAAATTCGCAGGGGAGTTGAAGATGATGCGTGAGAAGATGGAGAGAATGCAGCAGCAGCTGATGCAAGTGCAGGGCAGTCCACCGGCAGCACAGGGTACCTCGTCACTGGCGCATCAGGGTACCCCATCGTTGGCGCACCAGGGTACCACGTCGTTGGCGCATCAGGGTACCACGTCGTTGGCGCACCAGGGTACCACGTCGCTGGCGCACCAGGGTACCAGGTCGCTGGCGCACCAGGGTACCACGTCGCTGGCGCATCAGGGTACCAGGTCGCTGGCGCACCAGGGTAACTCGTCGCTGGCATCACAGGGTACCACGACACTAACCCTAAAGAGTCCATCTGCAGATCCATCAAGTAAGTGTGATTGTGTCTACTCTGTATAATTATATTACATTGTGTATGTACACGTTTATGATGTGTTATTCATTGCTCTGTAACAAGAAAATACTTCAATCGGTGTAATACTGTTAAGAACGCATACTATATATCTATCTATCTATCTATCTATCTATCTATCTATATATATATATATCTATCTATATATCTATCTATATATCTATCTATCTATATATCTATCTATCTATCTATCTATCTATATATATATATAATTGAACGCACACATATATTGCATTACCTTTTATGTGTATGCATGTGTATATATATATATACATACATACATATAAAGGCTAAAGCAATATGTGTGCGTTCGATTGTCATTCACATGTAAGATTCAACCGATATACTTGCACTGTTGTAAATCGTTTCCCTATTGTCTGATTTTCTCACAAAGAGAGGGCAGCACCGGTCTACACGGAGGTGGCAGAGAACCCTTTCTTTCCCAGCAAGAGCCCGCAACAAACGCCGCAGAGGAGGAGGAGCAAGGCGCGCGGGGAGAAGGTGGCACCACCATCGGGCAAGACGTCTCGGCAGGAAACACAAGGCAGCAGTCTCGTGCACACCGGTTCGCAAAAGTTTTACGATTCGCCGATTTTTCAATAGATTTTGCAGATGTTCGATTTTTTCTGTTTAGCTGTTAGATAGATGTCTAAATAGATAAGCTGTTTCCACGCTTAAAGTATTTTCGGTCAGCTATTACCCTATCAACTTATCTTATATTAACATTACAGTAAAAAAATGATTGACCTGGTTAATTACATCGTTATTCTAAGCCTGCAGCAGATAATTACCAGAAACAGATTAATTTCACCTACTTAATATAACACACGCTTGTAAACTCTCAACCCAAGGCAACTCGAAAAACGAACGCGATATCAAACTCTTGCTTTCTTTGCGATGCTTCGATCTCTTTTTTTCCCGCAGGAGAATCCGACGAGGAGATGGATGAGTACGGAGGAGGCGTGGTTAGAGAGGAACTCGAGGGACCTTCTCCGGAGCAGCAGTGGGGGAAGAACAAGCCGAGGGTGGCGCACCCGGCAAGCCTCAGCGACGAGGTGATACCGAGAAGCAAGCCTGCAACTTGTGAGTGATGTCTGTCTTTATCTGCGGAGCTTCTTGGCAAAGAATAGTTTCGATTATTCATCGTAATTTTTATTAAAGGATTAATCTCTTAAATAAATGCACAATCTGGAAAAATTGAGTGAAATACAAGCGAATACGCTCGCCTATAGCAAACGTATTGCTTGTTATATACCGGTCTTTAGCCAGTCTGGAGTTTCTCATGAAAAATAGTTTCTAATAGTCGCCATGACAGTGTTAAAGAATTCATATCTCAAATAAATGCACAATTTGGAAAAATATAGTGAAATATATAGTCTCAACTAATAGTGAACGTATTACTAATGACTCCTCAGTGTAAAAATTACGATGGGTTTGTGCTGCTTAGGGGCGATGATTAAAATAGCAAATGCTCAGCCACGTTTTTAGTTGTTAAGGTCGCGACAGTCCTTCTTTAAAATGTGGGTCAAGCCGGACACCGAGAGCAAATAGAGTGGGACGATAGCAGTTCTAATGGAGTGGGACTGGCATCGTCGTATATGTCGTGTCATGGCAATTACCGGATTAGAATTGACTACGTTCACTGTGTTAATTGTTGCTATGGGTGTATTCTGTGAAAAATTTGTGTGCCGATTATTTTATTGATCGATTAAATAAGTATGTTTTTACTGACGCGGATCTGAAAGGTTCATCTATAATTTCTTACGTGAAGAGATTTGTCGACTTTCACTAGAATGTAAAAATTCGCAGAAAAGCTGGTAACTGAGATGTTGTTTTTTTATTTTTTGTTTTGGTTTTGTTTTTGTGACTAGTGAGATGGGTTCCTGGACATTAAGCTGGCCTTTTGCTATGGGCTAGTGATGAGTCACGAGTCGGCGATGTTTACGCAGATTACAAGCAAGTGGAATATGAAAAAGTAGGAAGTAATATGTAGTGGTCAGCCGGTAATTTGTAATGCGCATAAAAACGTGACGGGCAGGAATTGTACTTTACATTTTTGAGAAAAGTGGGAAATGTGATTTGTTGGTAGGTGTGTGTACTATTCTAGCAGGATGACGTGAATCACTGGTTTATACAAAGGTGTGATGGGACACGGCCTGTGCATTTTAAAGTGACCTATATGGAGGAGTGTGGCATCTGTGCGGGGCCTTACTCGGCTGGTACGGTGGTGTGCGTTTGGAGTGTTCTCGTTTGAGGGAAAAGCTACCAGTGATGCGTGATAGAGTTTCCAACAGAAAGTTTTGTAGGGGGAAGTACGTTCGGTGAGGAAGTGGAGTGCGAAACCCGAAGTCGTCTTCCTGCAGTGAGCAAAGAGAACGGAAAAGCATCTAGCATGGAGCGCATTCTGGTCGTAAGGATAGGGCGTGATTGGGTGTATCAGGTTGGCGTATTGTGGTGCGTTGCGTTGGATGAATGGCTAGGCAGTAATGGTTGGTATAATAGTACGTAGCGGATTGTAGATGTAACGGTATAAAGGTGACCGTAGGTTGACAGAGATAGAAAATTGGGTAAAGATTAAATGCCGGATGCTGGCGAATCAGCTCGGACTATGTTAAGTGTTGAATCGTGGAGGTGGAAAGTTAAGACGTGTTGAATGCCGCGTGGTTGGCTCTGTGGGTTTTCCATGCCCGCGGCCTGTCGGTGGCAGCTGTGCAGAACGCCGCCTAGTGTCGGTCTGCACGGCAGAAAGGGAGAGGATGATGGAATGCAAAGATGGTGAAG